TTACTTTTTATTTTTATTTTCTTATTAATTTTTAATGCCTTCTCAATTTCATGCTATACTTTGAAAGTCTTTCCCAACTTTGAGTAAAAAAAGAATTTTCCTATGGTTTCTTCAGGTATTAGTATATTTTCATTATTTATTTTTAAGTATTTAGTATATTTGGACTTATCTTCTTATGTAAAGCATGTTTCAAATTTTATTTTGTTTCAATAGCTACCAGTTTTCCCAATTCCATTCCCTGAATATTTCACGTTTTGCCCACTACTTTAACATACAATCTTTGTCATGTATTAAATTCCCATAAGCATTTGTGTCTAATTCTGAGACTTTTGTTCCATTGATTAGTTTCCCCACATACAGTTTGCTGGCTCCAACTCCTCCTCCAGATTTTGAATGAATGAAGACCCCTTCAGAGCTCTTTCCTTTTCAGTCTGTATGTACTTTCTGAGAAAGCTCGTTCAGACCTTTGAGGATAATCCCCAGAAAGCCATGGTCTAGCTTATGCTTGCTGTTCATACTAAAACTCCACGGCCTGAAATAGTGCCCAGGACACAGTAGGCCTGCATTAGTCTGCCAGGGCTGCCATAACAGAATACCACAGACGGGGTAGCTTAAGCAACAGAAATTTATTTTCTCACAATTTCGGAGACTACGATTCTGGGATCAAGGTGTTGGGAGGGTTGGTATCTTCCAAGGCCTCTCTTTTAGGTTTAGAGACTGTGTCTTCCTCCTATTTCTTCACGTGGTCTTCTCTCTGTATGTCTGTGTCCTAATCTCCCCTTTTTAGAAGGATACCAGTCATGTTTGATTAGTGCTCACCCTAAATAACTCATTTTAACTTAATTACCTCTTTAAAGACTCTATCTCCAAATAGCTATATTCTGAGGTCCTGGGAGTTAGGACTTCACATATGGATTTTGGTGGGACACAATTCAGCCCATAACAAGGTCCTTATTAAATATTGACTGACTTAATCCACTGAAGAAATGTTCTGAATATTTGAAATGACATTTTTAAAAAAATAACAATAACTTCATTTGACTGGAGCATGAAGTACATGAAAGGAAGACATAGGAGATAAGACATAAATTTTTAATATTTACACCAAATGAAAATAAGTTGTAAAATTTCATGAAGTGCAGGGGGAAAGAAGACGTTATGTGGGCTGAATGCTTTACGTTTTATAATGGAAGCCAATTGATCCACTCGTTAATGCTGAAGTTTACCGTTCAGAGCTAATAAAATAAACAAAATCAGAATGTAAAGTGTAACAAATGGTGACCTTCGGAGATTGGGATTCAGGGAGACTGTCACCTTGTATATACTTCTCTATCACTTGGAAAGAAATTATAGACATGAATACATTACTGCTATGATAATTAAAACAAAAAGTGGGTTCAGGCCATGGAGAACTTTCAATTACCCTATGGTAGACTTGATTCCTTCATTACAAAGCCTCACAGTGCACACTCACATTGCTTGACATTGCTCCCCAGGCTCGCAGTTGTCAACGCTAAGCTCTACAACAACGATTACGCACTGGGAGGTGGACCGGATAGGGTAGGATGGGAGAGGCTGATAGTGAGTAGAAGTGGGGCAAATGCTGAAAAACATGTTGGTGAGAGATCATGTGTCAAACAGCTCTGTTATCTGAATTGCCCACAGTCCCTGCACAAGAAATTGCAAGGTCTGTCCAGCATCTTGAGAAACCTTGCTTGGTCACCAGCTTTCACTGCAGCTCCTGCACACGTCTCTCAATTTAGAGGACAGAGAAGTGTCCTTTGGCATCACCCAATCCCAGAAAGGCTCTCCCCTTCAGTACAGGTCAGCTCTCCACCTCTGGCCAGAAGAATGGAAGAGAGGTAAGAATATATACCAAGAACTGCCTTATTTCCAAAACCAGTTATGGTTTTTGCTCCAAGTTCCCAACACATGTTTCCATCATGGGGGCCACATGCAGGGTCATGTGCACCCCAGGAATAGACAAGAGACATGAAGCCCTCTTCTGGCATAGCATGCAGCAGCTCTGACTGTGGGAGATGCAATTACAGTCAACCAGAACCTTTCTCACTTTTCTCACCTTCTGATCCATCTCCCTATATTCTCCCCTTCCTTCCAACCATTCAAATCTATTATCATGGAGTGAATGTTGCCTCTTACATTAATTTAGGGAGCAGGATAAAATGCAGGCTTGGCTTCCCAGAGTGGAACTGCTCTTAATCCAGCCTTCATTGTTTTACTGGCTTTTTAAAGTTCTTTTCTCTTGAGCATGTGGCAGAGTCCTAGGAGTGGACAAACTGGGATAAATGAGGTGTGGTTCATGTGGTGACTATTTGCAAAGATGAGTAGGTTTAAGAGAAAGTGACAATGCATGGTGAAGCACCATAAGGCAAGCAGTAGTGAAGCACTGTTTCCACCTCGAGGCATACCTTTACCAGCTAAGGAGCAGTTACCCAGAGAGAGTATAATCATAGCCATAGTGGTAGCAGTAGGAAAGGACCACCAGACACATAGAGAAGCACTGCCATTGCCAACACACAGCCCAGCAGGGAGACAGCCAGGGGATGTAAAGTCCAAATCTCTCTTTGCCTGCCCTCCAGTCTCCTGGTAGTTCAATTCAACCAGAAAGCAGAGAGACAGGATCCCATGGATGAGATAAATAGAAGTCACCCTCTTGGGATGCCAAACAGAATACAGAAGGATGGAAAGGAGGTCCTCAGGGCAAGTGGAGACTATCCCTCATATCTCCTTGTCCTCTTCACAGTTTTTTCACAGTTTTTCTCTATCTCAGTGTCATCGAATCATTTCTCATCTCGTCTTCATCAGTTATTTTTCCTTCTGCTTGCACCATTTCTCTAGTGTCATTTTTATAGAGCAATCACCCACACTCATCAAAAATGCCTTGCACTTGTAACATGACTTTAAAAAGGAAAACATATTCTTTATAAGTTTGGCTCCTCTAATGGAGACGCATGGCAATAATGGCTTAAACAAGAGAGAAAGCTCATTAGACCTGGACTGGAGGCTCCAAGGCATTCAGACACAAACTCTCCTTCCAACTCACTGCTCCCTATCCCTAGAGAGGCGCCGTCATCCTTGTGGTCCTACGTGGCTCCAGGCTACATCAGCATTCAGCCGGGAGGGAAAGAAGGGAAGGGGAAGCCATGCTGCTTCTATTAAAGGCCTGACCTTTACATCTCTTCTGCTCGCCTCCCATTGGCCAGTGCCTAGTAACGTGGTGCCATCAGTATCAAGGGACTTGGGAAATAGGGTCCTTTCTCTGCTGTAAAATGCTCAGAATTGTTATGTGACATAAGAGGAGAATGGTAATTGGGGAGCGGTCTCTGCAACCCCTACTTGTCCCTCACATTCTGAGTTCACATAAAGATTTTCAAGAGCTCCTCAGAAAGGAGAGTTTGTGTCTGAATGATGCAGTGGAGAACAATGGGAAATCCTCAGACAGGGCTCCAGGAGACCAGGGTTGGTGTTGAGCCCTTTATTCATGGTAAGAGCTCGAGAAATCCCTTTGACTTTGTAGGCATCTTAATCCTGTGTTAAATGGCAATACGACAATAGATGGTCATGTGTTAAATGCTGGCAATGCAATAGCGAACAACGACAGGCTTGACATAGTATTTGTGAACTTTCTAGTTTGATAAGAAAAATACATACATGCATGCTAGAAATAGATTTACTAACTGTTAAGTAACGTAAGTGAGGATAGCAGAGGCTCTAAGGTTCCTCCCACATTCTTTTCTGGCCAATCATGGTTGTGGGAGCTTGTCTTTCTAAAGGAACACACAATGGATGATTCTGTCCTTGGTTCCTCTCTGCAGTCCAGGAGGAGGATGCCTCCTTTTTCCACTTGGAGGCCTCCTGTCCATGTGAGTCCTCTGAATTAGCAGCAATGGCTATGTTTCTGAGGCAGGAAAGGGTTCCTGGATTCTGCTATCTGCTCCTAATTGGATTTTACCCACATCTCCTTGCCCCTTATTTGATTGGCTTTTCTTCCTCTCTGTGTTTCTGGAGTTTGCTTATGTTAGGTTTTTTTCCTCTTTTTTTTCTTTTTTTTAATACAATTTTGACTGCCATCTTTGTTTTCTTCTGGGAGTTTTATGGTTTCGGGTCTTACGTTTAAGTCTTTAACCCATTTTGAGTTTATCTTTGTAAATGGTATAAGAAGGTGATACATCTTCATTCTTTTGCATGCATCTGTTCAATTTTTTCAACACCATTTATTGAAGAGACTATCTTTACCCTATTGTATATCCTTGCCTCCTTTGTCATAGATTAAACGACCATATAGGCATAGTTTTATTTCTGGGCTCTCTATTCTGTTACATTGACCAATGTGACTGTTTTTATGCCAGTACCATGCTGTTTTATGCCAGTACCATGCCTGTACCTTGTTGTATCTTTTGATATCAGGTAGCATCATACCTCCAATTTGTTCTTCTTTCTCAAGATTGCTTTGGCTTTTGGGTCTTCTGTGGTTTCATATAAATTTTATTAGGATTATTCATTCAAGTTCTATGAAAAATGCCATTGGTATTTTGATAGAGATTGCATCTATAGATTGCTTTGGTTAGTATGAATATTTTAACGATGCTAATTCTTCCTATTCATGAGCATGGTATATGCTTGCATTTATTTGTATCTTCTTCAATTTCTTTCTTCAATGTCTTATAATTTTCCAAGTACAGGTCTTTGATTTTCTTGGTTAAATTTATTCCTAGGTATTTATTACGCAATTGTAAATGAGACTGTTTTCTTAATTTCTTTTTCTGAAAGTTCACTATTGGTGTATAAAAATGCAACAAATTTCTGAATATTAATTTTGTATCCTACTACTCTATTGAATTCATTTTTTCAGTTCTAAAAGTTTTTTGGTGGAATCTTTAGGGTTCTCTATATATAGTATCCTGTCATCTGCAAATGACAGTTTTACTTTTTCCTTTCCAATTTGGGTGCTTTTATTTCTTTTTCTTGTCTGACTGCTGTGGCTAGGACTTCCTCATTGAATAAATACTTATTGAGAAACACCGTGTGCCCCACACAGCTAGAAACTGGGTTTATAAACAGTGCTTCAGTCTTTATAAAACTGATGCACTAAGCCATTTTGAGCCCACCTGGCCCAGCCATCCTCACTCCTGTCCTAGCAAGAGATCATATTCCCCTCATATCTCTGAAACATGGTCTCTTAGTCATGAGGGTGGCCCGTGGTCATCTCTGTGTCTTCCTGACTTCTTGCAGCTGAAGGGAAATTTCTAGCCCAAGATAGAGTGATATTTGTACCCAGAGCCATCTCCTGTTCTGTCAGATTCTATCCTAGACATTTATTTCATTCAGGAAATTCTGTGGACAGTAAGTGGGGGGCGGTGAAGGGCCATGACGGGACTTCAGAACATTCCCACATCAGTAGCCAGTTTGTGTTGCAGTAGAGAGAGCCCAGGCTCCAAAGTCAGATAGAATTGGGTTTGAATCCAGGTTCCAGGACTCCAAGACTGTGCAATGTTCAAAAATTATCTAATCTCCGTAAGCCTCCATCTCCCTCCTCTGTAACATGGGATAGCAATTCCCATTGAGCAGGGTGGGCTTGAGAATCAGTGATCACACAGCAGGTTCTCAAGTCTTGTTCTATTCCTAGGGTCACCAGTGGATGGATTCTGAGCACAGCTACAACTGTCATAGCCTGGGGGACTAAACTCACACCAGGTAATGGAAGTGGCCAAACTCACACCAGTAAATGTGACACGGTGACCTTGATCCCAGCCCCTCCCGTCATCATCATTGCCCTGGTTGGGCTGGCAGGAAACACCATTGTGCGCTGGCTCCTGGGCTTCCGCTTGCAGAGAAACGCCTTCTCCGTCTATATCCTCAACCTGGCGGGAACCAACTTCCTCTTCCTCTGCTGTCAGATCATACGTTCCCTGAATGCACTCATCAACTACTTCCATTCTGTCTTCATTTACATCCCCAGCTTTTTCATCACTGTGTCATCTTTGTCCTCGTCACAGGCCTGAGCTTTCTCAGCATCATCAACACGGAGTGCTGCCTGTCTGTCCTGTGGCCCATCTGGTACCGCTGCCACCGGTCCAGACACATGTCAGCTGTCACGTGTGCTCTGCTCTGGGCCCTGTCCCTGCTGCTGAGCATCCTGAAAGGGAATTACTGTGGCTTCCTGATTAGAGATTTTCACGATGATTGGTGTCCATTGTTTGATTTCATCACTGTCATGTGGCTGATTTTCTTATTTGTGCTTCTCTCTGGGTCCAGCCTGGCCCTGCTGACCAGATTGCTGTGTAGCTCCCAGTGGGTGCAGCTGACCAGGCTGTATGTGACCATCATGCTCATGGTGCTGGTCTTCCTCCTCTGTGGCCTGCCTTTTGGCTTCAAGTGGTTTCTGTTGTACTGAATTCAAGATCGTTATAGTATGTTCTCATATTTTCTTAGAAAGACAGGGATTATCCTGTCTAGTCTTAACAGCAGTGCCAACCCTATCATTTACTTTTTTGTTGGCTCCTTTAGACAGCAGTGGCAGCTGCAGCAAACCCTTAAGTTGGTTCTCCAGAGGGCTTTGGAGGACGTAACTGAGATGAGGAAAAGTGGAGGAAGCCTTCCTCAGGAAACCAGGGAGACTTCAGGAAGCAGTTTCATGTAGTGATTCTGTATCAAGCAGGGTTCAGTCAGGGAAGAGGTACTTATAGAAGTTTCTATATATAATTGTGTAAGTGTATGTCTGTGTGTGTGTATATATATACATACACACACACACACACACATATACACACACACATATATATAAACTGTCTCTGTAAGGCCGTTGTCTGTCTGATGTTTGAAGTCTGCAGGGCAAGCTTGCACCCAGGAGCGTGAGCTAAATTCCATGAGAACTGACCAGAACTCATGACAGTTCCTCTCAATGCCTGCGGTTTTGATGATATGGGAGTTTTACAGGAGAAGTTGGCTCCCTTCTTCATCTTGGAGCTAAACACACACGTGGGCCAGGAATCAGAGACACCGAAGGTGGATCCAAGGGAAGGTGGAACAGCTGCAGGCCCAGATACTGCCTCACACCAATGGGATGTGCTAACAAAGGCAAAAATGTACCCTGGTGACCTGGTACTGATCTTTCACGCATAAAAACAATGTGGCTGCTGCTCCATTTCCAACTGCCAAATCTTGTGTAAAATGTCTCTTGATGCCCACTCTAACTGAAACATACATGGAAGGAGAAGGAATTCTGAGAACACAGTTCAGCCTAGCCAAGGTTCAAACCCATCACAGTCTACCCCTTGTCGACTTGGCACCCATAAACACCTCATTAAACCATAGTTATTTCCAAATAAAGGTAGTAAAGCAAAGTCAAGCTTCTCCCTCACATGATATACCTATCTCACATATACCTGAAACACATCAACCTTTTCCCCAAAAGAAGATACATCTTTTCACATGCTATTCGGATTTATATATCTTTTTTTGATGTCTCTGTTCAAATCTGCTATCGGTTTTTATTGGGCGGTTTATCTCTTTACACTGATTTGCTGGCATTCTTTATTCTATGTTTATTATATATTCTAAATAAAAATCATTTGTCAAATTTATGTATTGCAAATATTTTTCTCCCAGTCTGGGACTTACGTATTCATTTTTGAAGTATATTCGATGAGCTCGAGTTTTTTAATAAAATATAATTTATTAATTTTTTTCTTTTATGGTTAGCACTTTATGCATTCTAAGAAATCTTTGCCTACTCCCTCCAAAACAAAGGTAGTCTCCAATGTTTTCTAACAGTGCTATAATTTTTGCTTTATACAAAAAAGAAAAATTATATTTAAATATATGAGCCATTTCAAACTCATTTTTGTGCATTTTGAGGTAGGGGGTCAAGGTTCATTTTTTTTCCCATATAGTTTCCAATTGTTTGACCACACTTGGTGAAAAGACATTCCTGACCCTCCCTCACCATTGAATCATTCAGCCCTTGTGTCAAAAACTATCCTTATAAGCATGGCAATATTTCTGGACATTCTGACCTGTTCTTTTATTCTAGTCCAGGAGTCAGTCTGTGGGCCAAATCCGATTCACTTCCTGTTTTTATAAATAAAGTTTTATTGGAACATAGTCATGCCTATTTATTTACATATTGTCTGTGGCTACTTTCATACTACAGCAGCAGAGTTGAGTAGCTGTAACAGAGACTATATGGCAACAAAGACTAAAAAATTTACTATCTAGCCCTTAACAAAGTAAGTTTGCTGATCTCTGGTGTATTCTTAAATCATCACCCATTATTGTTCTGGTGACTGTAGCTTTGTGGTAAGTCTTAAAATCAGGTAGTGTATGTCCTCTAACTTTTATTTTTTCAGGATTATTTTAGCTATCTGAGTCTTTTGCACTTGCATATAAATTTTAGAATAAACTTTGCAATTGCTACAAAAATCCTGATGAAATTTTGACTGTGATTGTGTTGAATCTATTAATTAATTTTGGGAATAATTGATATCTTAGAATAGAGAGTCTTTGAATTCATAAACATGGTACATCTTTCTATTTATTTAGGTATTCTTTAATTTTTCTCAGCAACTTTTTGTAGTTTGTACTCTACGAGTCTTGCACATCTTTTGCCAAATTAGTATTTTGTGTTTTCTGATGCCATTGCACACAATATTTTTTTACTTCATTTTCCGATTTCATCGCTGGAATATAGAAATGCAACTGAGAGCAAGAAGGCTGGATAGAAGGCTCTTGACTTTCTCTCCTGCCACAGAGGATCAATTCCCTCTGAGAGCAATCCAGAAACAAGTTGAGTGCCTTCTATAGATCAGGCAACTGAGAAAATGTAACAAATTTATTTTAGTTCATGAGAAAGAAGTAAAGAAAAGAGAAGAAAGAGAAAGAGAGGAACTAGCAAGATGACCAACGGCTGGCTGGGTACATGGAAGGCAAAGGGCCAGTGAAACTTCTAGTGAGGGAAGAGCTAAAAAGGGTACTTTAAAACAGAAATGTATAATAATCTCATTTATGGGGACTATTTGTTTATGCAATGTAATATATGACTTCTTCCCATGTAGACTTCCAATGAGGTCTACACCACACTTACAAATAATGTGGATAGATATGTGAGGGGAAGGGAGAGTTTCCTGTGTGTGCGTGTGTGTGTGTGGATATGTAGATATCAAGTCAGATGACCTTCCCTCTGGGAAGATATACTAGAGAAAAAAAGAGATCAGTTATAAACCAGATTCTGGAGACAGAGGTGAGATAAGAATGCAAGGTCTCAGATGATACCTGGGTTATCCATGACAGTATAAATTAAACATGGGGCAACAATAAAAGAAAGACACTCAGGGCCGGGGACAAAATGATGCCAGAAATGAGACTGAAGTGCCAATCATGCAAACCCCTTAGGGCCCTGAGTTTTCTAGCAGCCAACATGAAGACCAAGTCTTGTCAGTCACACATTCATATGTATAAATAGGCCAACTTCCCAAGAGAACTGCAATTGTACTTTGTACCAGAATCACAGTGTACTCTGTCCCAGGACACTCTCATAACTCAACATTCTCAACAACATCCTGACAGAATACACAAGCATGAACCTCTGCAATGACTTCTGACACCAACTATCTGGAATCAAGCTAAAGGTTCACAGGTAAAGGGCACAGGCCTCACAAGACTGCCTTCACTTTAGACATCAGCTGCAAGTTCGGGAGACCCCTGGCCAACCTCGCTTCTGACCAGCTGGCCATAAATTCGGTGGTTTGCACTGTCCCCTCAGGTTAAATGATTCCCTAGAATGACTCACAAAACTAAGGAAAGCACTATATTTATGATTACAGTATTATTATAGCAAAAGAATACAAATCGGAAACAGCCAGAAGGAAAGGCACCTAGGATGAGGTCCGGGACCGTCCTAAACATGAATCATCCTCAGGAATGTATCGCCCTTCTGGCACACCAGTGTATGACAATATGCAGAGTATTGCCAACTAGGGAAGCAACTTCAGCTTCAGAATCCAGTGTTTTTACTGGAGTTACATTATATAGGCATGATTGATTGATTCACTGCCATGTAGTTGAACCCAATCTCCAGATCCCTCCTCTCCCCAGGACTCAAAGTTCCAACCCTCTTAGTATATGATTGGTCTTTTCAGCATGGCCAGCTTCCATTCTGAGTCATCTAGTTAGCATAAATTATCTAGGGCCCACCAAGAGTTGTAAACTATTAGGTGTGGTCCAAAAGGCCCAATAACAAACACACTCCTATCATGCTGAAAACTCCAGGGGTTTGGAAGTTTCTCCCAGGAATAAGAGACAAAAGTCAGCCAAATTCTTTATCACCCAGCCGCTCATTGGTTGATTCTAACAACAGAAGAGAAATTAAAAATATGTATACACACACAGACTAATTCGCAAATGTTCAAAGTAGCTTTATGCACAATTTCCAAATACGTGAAACAATCCAAATATTCAACGACGGGTGAGTGGATAAACAAATTTTGGTATATTCACACAATGGAGTACAATTCAGCAATAAAAAGAATGAAATATGAATACATACAACAACAACAACAACAATAAACAGGACACAAAAGATTACATAGTGCAATAGTCCACTTTAAGTAAGGAAAAACTACTCTTCCGTGACAGAATACAGATCAGCGGTTGTCTGGGCAACGGGTGAGGTTGGGAGATTGCTTGCAAGAAAGCATGAGAAATCTGGGGGGTGGGTCATAGAAAAGTTCTATATCACAACTGGCAGTGGTGACTACACAGATGTCTAGATTTGTCAAAACTCATTTTGAGTACACATCATACACATAAAATGGGTGCATTTGAAGATATGTAAATTTTCGTTGAATGAAGCTTATTAGAAAAATATGAAAAGGACAAACTCTAAAGATAAAAATTGTCCTTTAAACTGACTAAATCTAACTTTATTGAATAACAGAAGATAACAGCACAGATATACAACTCATAGGTTTCTAATAGCTCAGAAAGTTGTTAGAGAATTAAATGTATTCGTATATAAGGTGATTAGAACACTGCTAGTAATGCATAAGTGTTAACTGCTATTATTATTATTATCAAATTACATTTTAGCTTTCTGCTATCTGATGAACAATCAGACAAATCCCCATAGATATCAAAATTAAAGTTTATTAAACTAATATAGATTTTGTAGGAGCTTGTTATACATGTGAGTTGACATGTGAAAATCACAGAGAAAAAAACTGAAAGCAGGAGCTCAGGGAATAAAAGTGACCATGAGAAAAAAGCCCACTGCAACTCAGAAATTAAACATGCAACTAAAGAGACAGAAAGAGAGAAGAACAAAGGTGAGGTCCTAGTTAAGCCAGATACGAGGCTTAAAATTAAGACCAAGATTTCTGCCCCCTGGGGCACTGCTTCGCCTTTTATCCCCTAGGTATGCATACAGCTCACGTGGAGACAGGTTTTGTCAGAAACACAAACTGCATTGGTTATAGCATTTTTGTTTGTGCTGTAAACATAGATTTATCAAATGACTCATATCCAGAATATATAAAGAACTCTTATAACTTCATAACGAGAAATCCAACAACTCATTTTTAAATGACTAAAAGATTTTTCAAGTATTTTCCAATTACAGTTGACATTCAATATTATATTAAAGGC